GGCTGCGAGTCTCATTCATTCCTTGATGGCAAAGAAACATCATTCTGAGCTTGAGTTATTTATTACAGTTCATCATTTACCTTAAAAGAGTGGGAACTGGACACATTCAACACCACCAGCCCCATCCCTCCCTGCCAAAACCCTCAGTGCCAGCCCTATTAAATTAAGAGCCTCAGGCGTCACTGATGGGAAAGGGACACGCAGGGATGCGGCAGGCAGGGACCACTGCTGAGTCCAGAGGCTGTAAATTGCCACAGTGAAGTCACTGGGCACTGAGCTGCCTCCTGGGAGAAACCCTGAACCCCTCTTCCCAGCAGCAAACAGGTTCCAGTTGCAGTGGGGTGTTGCTCCAGCCGAAATGGGGATGGCAGGAATAAAGCTTCATAGGGTCCCCCTGGGCCCAAACAGAGCAAGGAAGCCCCTTGCATCACTTCTCTTACCTTCACAGTCCCTGCTCCAAGGGCATGACCAGTGATGTCAACCTGAATAGCTTCATAAGCTGCTCCAGGGTTGGTTTATAACGTCTCCAGTGTTCCCAGCTCCACCTCCTGCAGCCCACAGGCTCCTCCAGGCAGTGGCAAGCACAGGTATCCTCAATTGAGAGCTGGCATTAGGGCAGGGAAGCAATCTCCTGATCTTTCCACAGGTACTCAGTAGGAAGGAGATACACCTGGCCCCATGGCAACCTTCCCCCTTTCTAAATCCCTCCAAGCAATGCCACAGCCCCAAAGATGAGTCTGGAATGAGGCCAAGTCAACCAGGGCAATGCAACGAGGGGAAGTGCCCACTGCTTGTGGAGAGGGAAGACACTGATCCTCACTGCAGGGTTCATATGCACCTGATGGGGATGTAAACTGGTCCCAGTGGTTTGGGACCACTGGATCTTGGTACTGTGTGGCCATCAGAGAGCCCAAGTCACACACAGTGGGGAGAGTGATTCCCCCATGGGCTCTGGGTAGCCTTGATTTTAGCAGTGAACTTCCAGGCACTGGGAAGCACACGTGGGTCTGCTCACATCCCCTCAAAATCCCTTAAGGAAGAGCTGCCTGCTGCTGGATTCCAGCAACGTCCTGGTTCAGACGGGCCTGAACTGCTCCTGTCCATGGGATGGAGATGCAGCACAAAGCTCTGGAAGCCTGTCCTCACCCGGAGCTGGCTCAGCCCTAGTTACCTGCTCATGGTGGGATGCTCAGTTCCTGCTCCCCTTGTCCTGGGCTTTGCTCTGGTGTGGATGCAACCCTGGGAGCTGTTGCCCAGCCATGTCCCATCCCCTCCCAGCAGCTACTTCCCTAGATTAAACCCTGTGTGCTCATCACCTCCTAACCTGTCATTCTGGGTAGAGATTGTCCTTCCCGGATTCTGGTGTCAGCCCCGGCACGGAGCCTCCTGCTTGTTGTTATTGACAGCACCATCTTTCCCTGATTAAAATTCCTTTAAGTGCACCTAATGGCTAATCCCAGCAATCCTGTCCCCATCCCCCTGTCCCTGCCCACGTTCCCTCTCCGCTGCATGTCCCCGGGTGCTGCGTGTGCCTTCATTCCTGCTTGGTCTTTCCTTGGCTTCAAACATCAAGGGGAAGAGTCAAAAATGCTCCTGGAGATGGAGGAAAAGGTGATTTTTGTTTGGGAAAAGAAAGGGGCTGGTGTGGGGCTACGCCAGGCGCTGTCACCATCCCTCATCCCCCTTCTTCTGCTTGGCTGGTGCTGGATTTATACCAAGAGGGATGGAGAGCCAAGAAACACAGGCCAGGAGGGGACTCATGCCAAAAGCACCTGAATTCAAACCATGAGGCTCCAAAAGAACAGCCTCATGGCTTGGATTTGGGTCCCCACCAGCCCCAGGTTGGGGCTGCTAGAGCTGGGGATAGGCGGAACACCAGGAGCATCCCACCGTCCACTGGGTCCGAATCTGGTTTGAATTCCTTGTGGGGACAGCCAAAACATCAACAAACTGACCTTTCTGCTCCCCTTCGGGCTTTCTGCTCCCTCCATGCTCTTCCGTGCCTGCTCCTGGTGCTCCCCAAGGAGGTTTTGCCCCCACTCCCATCTCCATCCCCCCAGCCACCACAATCTTCCTGTGTCTCCGTGGTCCATTGGGAAGTTGGGGTGCCCTTGGCCTTGCCCAATGCACAGCCCCAGCGCAGTGATAGAGCATCCAGAGCAAGAGCTCAGGAAGCCCTGCACCATCTAAGGGGGCTTGCGATGGGGCCTTCACCCCCCTTCTGCACTAGAACACCACCTCAGCATCGTGGGGTGAAGGACGTTACCTGGCTGGTGGCTCACATCCACCTCCAGGCAGCTTCAGAAAGGTTTGGCAGCACTTCACACTCACCCTCCTACCCCAGATCTAGGCTGTGGCTGTAAGACTCTCATCCTATTGCTCTACAGTTGGGTGTAAAGGCACTTAACTCCCTCACTAAACCAACAGGCAAGGAAAGGGGAGAAAGAAGAAGGGCACCATGGAAAGCTGGGGGATCCCTGGGGTCCCTGAGCCACCAGTTTCTTCCTCCTGATCATTTTTAGTCCAGGGGTCAGTGGGGAACAGATGTGGTACAGAGCAGTGATGGGAAGAGGCTTTGTCCAGGATGGAGAAGGGACCTTGTCCTGCTAAAGGAGACATCTCCACCCAGCTTTGTACCAACCACGTTGCCCCTAAAAACCCTCCTCCCAAGGACTTAGACTGTCCAGGTCCCCTTGAGGTCCCCCTCATGCAGCCTGGCAGGTCCTGAGCACCCCCAAGATGCTCCAAGCACCCACAGTCCTCACATGCTGCATGAGCCTGACCCTGGCAGGATGCAAGTGTTCAGCATCACTTGACCCAGCATCCCTGGCCACCCAGGACCCAAGGATCCATCCGTGACCACAGGCACGTCGGAGAAGCAGCACGGGGCTCTCACGAGGGCTCTCTGCAGCCACAGCGGGAAGCAGAGTATCTCACTCCCGGCCTCGGAGGAAGGCTCTTGCTTTAATTGCTCTTTGGCCTCCAGCCACTGATTGCTCACATTTGTGACTGCTTTCTTTGCAGTTCCCTGGCAGCTTTTCAGTTCCCTCCACTGGTTTTAACCACCCCAACCTCTCCCAGTCTCAAATAAAAGACCTCGTGCCCTTGGGGCAGGTTGTCAACAGGTTGAGCCCCAAATTGTCCATCCTGGAGGTGTCAGCTGAGGTCCCTCCAACTCACTGCAGCAGTGGTTTGGAGCGTTGGACTTGTTCCAGGTCTCTTTGGCTCCGTGGCGCTCATGCTGTGCCTCTCAGAGCTGGTCAAAAGGTGACACCAGGAGCATCCCAGCCCTAAAGTGGGGTGAAATATTAATCCATGGATCAGCTTAACACCATCTGCTTGGCTCTGCAGCTAGGCCCAGCCAGCGCAGGGAGGACCAGCCCATTCACCTTAATGCGCTGTTCACTCTGAACCCTAAGGATGGCACCGCTGCAGCCATAATGCTGATTATTTCATCTTTGATAGTCCAAGCAGGCAGAGCCAATGCATTTGTCAGCTCTGCAGAGCTTCTCCTTCAACAAATGAATACTGTGTGGATGGTGAAACCAGTCTGCTGTGGGCTTTCCAGTGGGCTCCGCTCCAAGATGTGTGAGAAAGTGAGGAGCTTGGCCACAACATCCAGGCAATGCCGCTGCTGAAATCACCATTCCCACTGCCAGGGACACCCCAGGGTTGGGACAGGGCTTTGTGGGCACAAAGGATGCTGGAGGTGAGGAAACACATCGGCAGGAGGGGTACAGGAGCTGACTCAGCTCACGGATGTCTTTATTGGAACTCTAGTACGGTTGGACAGGTAGAGGCATGCGAACAGGACAGACAAACAGGAGTAGTATTGCCTTGATCACAGAGATATGTAACAGCATTAGAAAGACACTGACCCTTCCAGGCCAGCCGGGTTCACCCCACCTCAGCCACCAATCGCTTCCCATCCCCATCCCCACGCCCCAACCGACCCGCTCGTCCCCCCCGTCCTCTGGGGTCTGCACCCCTGGGCTGAGCACCCACGGGAGGGGGGTGATGGGGCAGCCACCCGCTCATGCCACCTCGCATGGAGCCTTTGAAACCCCAGAGAAGGGTCCCCAGCAGCTGTGTGGCAATGGAGGGGTCAGAGCGTGGATGGTGATGTCCCGGCGAGGGTCTGGAGCCGGAGGAGCGATGGGCACCGCAAAGCGAGGGGGG